AAAGCTGCTTTGAAATATGCATAGTGAAAACGCTCTATATAAATAAATATGACCTGTCCTAAGAATTCACAAAGATGTCAGGAAGACGGTGGATCTCTGTCAGAAGATGGAGGCAGCAGGAGTCTCCTGGATTACAGTTCACGGTCGTACAGCCGACGAGAGGCACCAGCCTGTTCACTATGACGCCATTAAGACCATCAAGGACAGTCTTTCCATCCCGGTCATCGCTAACGGTGACATCAAGAGCATGCAGGACGTGGAGGCCGTCTACGAGCTCACGGGGGTGGACGGTGTGTGTCATTTAATCGGCATCTGGTTTCATTACTCTTCTTGTTTCAGCTGTATTTGTATCTGATATTTTTGCCCTTCTGCAGGCGTGATGGCTGCTCGGGGATTGCTGGCCAATCCTGCCATGTTTGCTGGGTACGAGGAGACCCCGCTGCAGTGCGTGTGGGACTGGGTGGACATCGCAGTGGAACACGGGACCCCGTTCACATGTTTCCACCATCACCTGATTTACATGCTGGAGCGCATCAGCTCTCAGCCCGAGAGGAGGGTGTTCAATAATCTGTCCAGTACGTCTGCCGTCGTTGACTTCCTTCACAATACATACGGCTCTGCGTAGTTGTTTTTAATAAATGCATTGTTTTATAAGTTGTAAAAAAGGCACAAATGAAAAACATCTGAATATGTATGCGGTTTTATGCTGAAAAATTTATATAATTAAAAAAAATAAAAATTCATTAACTATGTATTACTATGTCTTTGGAGAGCTTTTTATCTTTCAAACACATTAAAATTGACAAATTCATGATATTTCTTATTTACATGTAATGCAGTCATTCCCAAACTTCTTTCATGTAATATATTTTAACATAAGATTTTACATGAGATTTTGTTTCCAACATTGATAATAAATCCGCATTTAAGAATGATTTCTGAAGATCAGGTGACACTGAAGACTGGAGTAATGATGCTGAAAATTCAGCTTTGATCACAGAAATAAATTATATTTTAAAGTTTATTAAAATAGAAAACCATTATTTTAAATGGTAATAATATTTTACTGTATTAGTGTTTTTTTCTGTATTTTTTGTCAAATGAATGCCGACATGATGAGCAGAAGAGACTTCATATATATTCTAATCTATTCTAATTCTATTCTTAAAAAAAAAAAAACTTGTCCCTTTTAGACTTGCACTCTATTCATTTGCTGCTTGTTTTCTTTTAAAAAAACTTGCTTTCTAATCTTTTTGTATTCTATCTGTTTTCATTTATTATACAATTAACATAAGCGAAAAAGACCTCTAACACTAGCTTGCTCTGTTCTTTTTCTATTCTATCTGTTTTCTTTTTATTTATTATATGATTTAAAAAAAAAACTTGCTACGTGTACTGCGTTAAGCTAACTGAGACTTGTTATAGCACTTGTATTAATCCTATTCTTAAAAAAAAAAAACTTGTCCCTTTTAGACTTGCACTCTATTCATTTGCTGCTTGTTTTCTTTTAAAAAAACTTGCTTTCTAATCTTTTTGTATTCTATCTGTTTTCATTTATTATACAATTAACATAAGCGAAAAAGACCTCTAACACTAGCTTGCTCTGTTCTTTTTCTATTCTATCAGTTTTCTTTTTATTTATTATATTATTTAAAAAACCCTTGCTACATGATTGCTTCCATTGTCCTCATTTGTAAGTCGCTTTGGATAAAAGCATCTGCTGAATGACTAAATGTAAATGTAAATATATATATATACACACACACACTATATATTTATGTCTATGTAAATGCCCTTTTTTGCTGTGAAATAGCAGCACTTCACTGTTGTTTGCTGTTTGTTTCAATATAGTTTTAACTGCAATGTGCATTAATAACAGGCAAAGCTGAAGCTGTACATTACATCTCTCATCTTTAAATCTACTATTGCATAGTGCAAGGCTCCAAATCAAATACAAGCTTTTGAATTCTTTTTGAAAGACATTAAGCCGGCATAAGTGGCTGTGTTGAAAGCTCTTTTCTGGTAGCTCAGTTGGTAAGTGCATAATGTTTATTTTATTATTTATTTTTTGTAGCCAGTGCAAACTGATGAACAGAGGTGTGACATGCGTTCTTTAATGTTGAAACCAGGCCTGAGTATCCCCAAAATATATTTATTTCCTACTGCCGATCTTCTTCCAAAGCGAGCAATTTCTTTCTGCGCCACAGAGCTGTATTTAATAGGAGACTGTATGCAGCTCGTATGAAGTCCAGTGCTGTTTTCCATCCGCTCCACTAGGCGGCGCACGCGGGTTTCACCTTCACTCAGAGTCTCTTCCTCTGTTGTTTGTCAACATGACGCTTGATGACAGTCACAATAACACCACGCTCAGCTCCTGCAGATTATTTGCTCTTAAATGTCTCTTAAACCTCACATACTTCAGCTCAAGCGCAAACCAAACCAACACACTGTGGGATAAAGCGCTTACCTGTAAGTAACTTTCCGCATAAAGTCAACTTCTCTGTATAACAGTCGTTGTTTCAGTTTATATGTGTGCCTGTAAGATATTCCATAGCAGAAACCTTTGTCAGTTCATATGATTGATCGGATGTGTTGCATTTAATGCGTCTCACTACAAAGCGAACACACTTGGACTGAAAGTCTCAAAACGTGAATTTCGATGAGGTATTGGAACTAAAATCATGCTTAAAAGGGTTTTTGTTATTACACAGCTAGTAGTGCATTCAGACAGTCCCATCTTCTAACTAGCTCTGTCTTGATAGACACTTAGTGCTTTTGTTTTGTTCTTTACTACCTATAATTTAGTGATTTAACAATTCTAGACCACTAAACAATAGTGGATTAACCAGTTAATGCAATTATATATTAAATCTTTTTGAAACCCAGTGTATAAATGTATATATGCATTTATTTAGTGAAAAACATCAATAGAACTAAACTGGGGAGAAAAGTGGCATGAACCAAAATATTACTGTTACAGTATTACTGAAGTATAATATACTCTGCGATATATTTGTTTTTACACTGCATATGTTTATGTAGTCAATTTCTGCTTTACAAGTGTGGATAAACGAGCTTAATGCAGTTTATGTTGAAGCATTTATATATTTTTTAAACCCAAAATGTCAATGTATATGCACTTTTATTTAATTAAAACTGCCTAAGAAATAAACCGGGGAGAAAAGCCCATTGAACTAACTTAACTAATTACTTAAGGATGTTATACTCTGCATTGTTTAGGAATTCAGTTTATGTAGTTAACTTACACTTATTAACTATTATTTTAATTTAGATTTTTTTAATATGCAGTATGTCTAATAATGTCTTTGTTTATATCGTGTCTCTCCAGAATGATTGAACCAGCAACCTCTGAACCATGAGGCAGCGCTCTTACCTGTGAGCCACAGATCTCTTGCTGGAACACATGAAGGAACTTATATCTGACTGTTTACCTGTGATTTCCCAATAAAGAGCTTAAAGTAATCAGTGGGATTTGAACCCACGTCTCCATCACAGCCTTGTGTTCAGAGAACATGTGTTTATGCACTGGACCGTCACAGATCTGACATTGATTTGTGGAGTTTGAGTGACTTTGTTGGATGAGATCAGTTTAAAGTGAGCAATAGTGAGATTTGAACTCAGACCTCCACGATTAAAACTCAGAGCTTTATCTCCTGCGCCACTGAGTCTGTGGCGCTGGTGAGGGTTTTGAACAGGATTTTATTGAGAGATTTGTTGTAAATGATGCATAACTTTATCAGCTATGGGATTTGAGCCCAGATGTTGGTGCTTGAGATTGAAAGCTTTAAACACTGAGCCACAGAGGCTGTGATGTTGCACTGGGGTTGTTTTCTGGATCATAAAGATTTTAAGTTGATCTGAACACAAGTTTAGGCTGAGTAAAAGACAGTCACTTCATCTGTAGGATTTGATCACATCTCTGTTGCGGTTTCATGATTCTAGTGTTTAACCACTGGGTTCACCACTATTTTTGGTCTATTACATTAGAATTTATTACTTTTATTATTATTATCTTTTTAGTTAAAACATCAAGACTTTGTACTTTCTTTTAAATAATACAATGTTTATGGTCATCATTGTCACTGTGGAAAAATAACCAATTACACTTGCACAACCTGTTTATTTTAAGTTCAATAGACTCGATTTGCAGCGCTGTAATTCACAAAAATTACCACAGGAGGGCGCAACACATTTAAGTTGATTAGTCAGCGCTGTAATTCACAAAAATCACCACAGGAGGGCGCAACCCATTCAAGTTCAATAGACTCGATTTGCAGCGCTGTTATTCACAAAAATCACCACAGGAGGGCGCAACACATTTAAGTTGATTAGTCAGCGCTGTAATTCACAAAAATCACCACAGGAGGGCGCAACCCATTCAAGTTCTATAGACTCGATTTGCAGCGCTGTTATTCACAAAAATCGCCACAGGAGGGCGCAAGATATTCATGTTTATTAGATTGAATTTGAAGCAGTGTAATTCACAAAACACATTTAAGTTAACTTCAGAAGTCAGATGATTGAGATGATCGAAATCACAGCGCTAAAAATCGAGTCTATGGAACTTAAATGTGTTTTTGTGAATTACACTGCTTCAAATTCAATCTAATAAACTTAAATGTGTTGCGCCCTCTTGTGGGTATTTATGAAAATTGCAGCGCTACAAAGCGAGTTTAATTAATTTATCTGATCAAAGAAAAATATATGGGTAAATTGAGTTATTCTTTGGTATACGTTGAATCTGAGAGCATTATTATTAATATTATTACCCCATGCACGATTGTTCTGTTCTGTTTAAAATACACAATTTTAATCGGTTGTTTTATATTAGTTGTTGGCTTTATTTACTACTTGCCCGTGGTATTTGCTATGGACAATAGATTAATTATAATCATTGTATTTTAATATTTTATTGTGAAAAACACTTTATTCGGTTAGTGGCACACGATGCAAAGCGCGCGGTCTGATGACGTCACTCGCGCGTTTAGTCTAGCTTTCTGAAGCGTGTCGTTCGTCCGAAATCTTCCTGGAGGAGCATTTCTTCATTCGCAGGTGAGATGTAAACCGATTTCTAGTTCGTCTGCGCTTGAGTTTTGTCTTGACTTACCGTGTGTTCGTTTCCTGTTTGATCACATCTTATTTTAATAATCTTTTACACTCAACTTTCAATATAATGCAACACTTGTGCATTTTGACTACGGTCTGATAATTGTACTGCACTTCTAAATACTGTTTTTATATGTTGTGTGTGGTACAAACATAAGACATGCTTCCTGTTAAAGTGTTCAACTGCAAGATGCAGGTGAAATGCCATTATCAAGGCCACAAGTAGATTATCTGAGAATAATAACAGCTTTGACTAGTAAGGAATTATGCATTTTTTTCCAATCTGGTACAGCATTATGTAAACGTTTATGTATATAAAAGACTAACCCATAGTTTTGTCATACAGCTGATACAACATGACCTTGCAGTGGACTGCGGTTGCATCGTTCTTGTATGTGGAGATGGGTGTTCTCCTCATCTTTTGCCTGCCTTTCATCTCAGCTCAAAGGTAAAATGTTCCCTTGTAATCCATTTGTGTTCGCTGTTGTCCACTTGCTCTTACTGACGTCCATGTTTGCAGATGGCAAAGTATTTTCAAATGGAGCATCTGGAACCGTCTCTCCCAGTTCCGGAACAAGGGCTTTCTCACCATGATAATAATCCTCATAGTTCTCTTTCTTGGTATGTCATTTTCTTTATTTATTGCCATGTCTTAAAGGAATAGTTCACCCCAAAAATAAAAATAGCTGAGAATTTACTCACCCTCAGGCTGTCCAACAGATTTGGAGAAATGTACATCACTTGCTCAGCAATGGATGCTCTGCAGTGAATGGGTGCCGTCAGAATGAGGGTCCAAACAGCTGATAAAAACATCACAATAATCCACACCACTCCAGTCCATCAGTTAATGTCTTGTAAACGAAAAGCTGTGTTTGTAAGAAACGAATCCATCATTAAGACGTTTTAACTTTAAACCATTGTTTCATAGTCTATAATCCATAATAACGCTTCTTCCAGTGAAAAAATCAATTTTCTGTTGTGTCTCACATCAAAATCCACTCACATATTTGTTTAGGTCTGTTTTGGCTTGTAAACGGTGCTTGATCTGGGCAGATTTCTCTCCTGATTCCGATGAGATGAGTTTTTCACTGGAGCAAACAATATTATGGATAGAGGACTCATATTTAGCCGAAACAAGAGTTTGAAGTTTAAAATGTCTTGATGGATTTGTGTACAAACACACAGCTTTTTGCTTCACAACACATTAACTGATGGACTGGAGTGGTGTGGATTACTTGTGGATTATTGTGATGTTTTTATCAGCTGTGTGGACTCTCATTCTGATGGCACCCATTCACTGCAGAGATCCATTGCTGAGCAAGTGATGCAAAGCTACATTTCTCCAAATCTGATGAAGAAACAAACTCATCTAAATCTTGGATGGCCTGAAAATGAGCACATTTAAATAAAAAATGACCCGAGTTGTGTTTTAACCTGCTGCAGATGCCCTGCGGGAGGTGAGGAAGTACTCGACTGCTGACCGAAGCAAAGATTCCAAACTTTACCCCAACACGTTCGACCACATGCACATGAAGCTCTTCCGAGCCCAGAGGAACCTCTACATCTCTGGTTTCTCGCTCTTCCTGTGGCTGTACGCATTAATCGACATGAATGACAATACCCATTGGCAGTTTGTCTTGTGATATTGAACTCTGGTGCTGTTTTCTCACAGTGTCATGAGGAGAGTCATCACTCTGATTAACCAGTTGGCCACAGCCATCGGCACCAGCGCCGCTATGCAGACTCAGGCTGAAAGCGCCAACAAAGCTGCCAAGAAATACATGGAGGACAATGAGATGCTTAAACAGGTTAAAAGCCTTAAAAAGCTGGAATCCCATGAAACCTGCACCACATTTCACCCCAAAATCAAAAGACTGATACATAGAAATAATATTTTCAATTAAGAGTTTAACTGTGATGAAAATAATGTAAAAAATTTTTACTTTAATGAAACCTACACCACATTTAACCCCAAAATTAAGGGATAGATTTATAGAAATTATATTTTCAATCAAGAATGTTATTTTCATGAAGATAATGCAAAAAAGTTTTATTTTCTTGCATAAGATAACAATTTTTTTTTCTTTTGATTTTGGGGTGAAATATGACCTAAAAAATATTTTCAATTTAATTGTCATGAAAATAATGCAAACAAAGTACTTAAATGAAACCTGCACCCCATTTCACCCCAAAATCAAAAGACAGAAATTACAAATAATATGTGTAATTAAACATTTAAATTTCATGAAAATAATGCAAAATTTTTAAATTTCTTCATGCATAACGTTTTTTTCTTTTGATTTTGGGGGTGAAATATGACCTGGACATACCATTTTTACAGCAGTCACAGCTCAATAATTATCAAGTTATCCAAGTGATAAACATGGATGAGGAGGAATAAAAAGAATATTTTTAATTAAGAATTCAATTGTCATGAAAATAATGCAAAGTTTTTACTTCAATGAAACCTGCACTATATTTCGCCCAGCGATCAGAAGACAAACATAAAGAAAAACATTTTCAATTAAGAATTTACTTGTCAGAAAAATAATACAAAACAGTTATTTTATGTATTTTTTATTCTTTTAAATTTGGGGTAAAATATAGCTTGTTAGATCAAGTTATCCAAATTATAATCTTGGATGAGGAGGAATAAAATAATTTGTAGCGTTTTAGAGACTGGTGTCCTTAAAGAACATTTAGTAATAGAAGTACAAATGACTGTCATCCTCAGGCACTTACAGACGCTAAAGGAGAAGGAGGGAAGACACAAGATCCAGAAGAGAACAAACTCCTGAAGAAAGAGGTGCAGAGACTGACAGAGGAGCTGAAGAGCAGCACCGATGGTGAGCACAGGCCATACAGACACTCGACACTCATTCTGCTTCACAATTACAATCAAATAAATGACCTGGAATAGAGTAGCTCTACAAGTTAAAGCTGTTTGTTTTTCTGTAGTTCTGAAAAAGTCAAAGTCAGATTTGGACGCCATGAAGAAACAAACTGAAGGACTGACCAAAGAATACGACCGTCTCCTTCAAGAGCACCAGGAGCTTCAGGTAACACACACATCGAAAATTCAAACCAACCACATGATATACAAGTGCTTAGAAAGAAGCTGTTATCATTGTAAATTTTTTAATGTTTTTCGGTTTTAGTTTTATTCAGTGTATTTAAATGAGAAGAAAATTAACCAGAATAAAATATAAAAACAAACTTTAATTTAAAGTTGAATTACTAAAAATAAAAAAACAAATAAAAAACTACATACACGTATTTACAAAAAAAAAAAGGGAAAAAGAAAATTAACAAACAAAATGAGTAAAACTTTAAAATTAAAACCGAAAATATAACTTTCCTATAATAAATACAAACTTTCTTTTAAAGCTGAAGTACTAAAATAACAAACTTAAATCTATATAGACATTTGCCAAAAAAAACCCTAAAACTTTGAAATAAAATGAAAATGGAAAATATAACTTTCCTATAAAAAATAAACAAAGTAAAAAAAAAAAAAAGAACACTTAAAATCTATAGGCATTTACTAAAAATAAATACATAATTAAAAAATAAAAATGACAAAATTACTAAAACTTTAAAACTGGAAAAAAAAAATATATATATAGTATAGTATAGTATAAAATATATATAGTTATATAGCTAATATTATAAGCTAATATCAAAATAAAATTTTCAAATACTTTAAATATAAAAATAAAATCTAATTAACTATTATCTCAATTAAGTAACATTGAAAAGTAGTAGTGGCAGATATTTTATATCTATATTGTTTTGCATGTTGTAAACAAATACCGTTTAACAGCTTCCATGCTTCAAATGATACCCTCAAAATATTAAAATTGTAATAAATTAAACAAAGTACAAAGATGAATTCAAATTTAGTTATTTATAAAATCTAGCATAAAATACTGACAAATACTGTTTGTAAATAAAATAAATTACTTGTACCATCAATGCCATTTAATATTATTGTGCATCCCGACAAAAATTATTAAAAAAAAGGATATTTGTTACAGATATTAAGTAAGGACCAAGAACAATACAGAATCGTTGTTTAGATAAGCAACACTTTTTTTTCTTGTTTTGTCTCGTTTTTTAGAATCAGCTGGACAGTGGAGACAAAAAAGACAACTAGGCAAGTGGACACACTGGAAACCTGTACGTTAATGCACAATAATCACGGTCATGCTCAGTTCCTCTCATACACTCACCTGGTAGCATGACATGCAAACTGTTACGAGTTCTTGACAGTCAGTTCATGACATCACATCCCGTCAGGTTTCCTGCTCACCACACATTTGAAGTAGCGGTTTTCCGGCTTTGATGTTGAATTGGTGCAGTGCTGTATTTTGAGATTGCTGCATAATGTGGCTGTCTGCGAATAGAGCGACTGAAACCCAACACTCATTGATGTTTACAGGAAACTGTATGTTATTTAGTCAAAAAGCCATAGTGACTGATGTTTGCATGTTGCATTGAAATACCTTGTGTTGCTTTCCTTCTCCTCTGCTAGATTCTCTCCCTTATTTTGTTTAAAAGTGCATATCAAACCAGGTTAGTCGTGCAACATCCAGAAACATGCAAACATGAGTCAATAGTAGTACGATTGTAATACTTTCTGAAGAACTTTAAGCATATTTCCACAGCAATATTTCCATTCATATTTTCCAAAGACGACATTATGGAAGCCTATCTAAGAAAACATACATTACAGGCTGCATTAGTCATTTGATCAACTTTAATTAAGAAGCAAAACCGTATACACATAAACAACAGGTAAGAAGTAAACATCACAATGAGACCATTTATTTCCGGGCTGAGCAAACAGTCTGTTAGCGAGCGGTTAGTGTGTTTGTTCTCGAGTCTGGAGAGGTAGGTCAATTACACCTGAGTTCAAATGCTGTTAGTTGTTAAACAAATGCTGAAATGTGAAATTAAACCGATTTCACAGTCCAGTAGAGATAAGTGATCATTTCTTAACTTTGAGTCCATTTGAGGTAGATGGTTTTGTGCTATTGATGCTTAACATTGTTGAATCTTACAAAACATGTCCAGGCCATATTTCACCCCAAAATCAAATTATATTTTGTATAAAGAAAATTAAAGTATTAAGATTTATTTCTTGTTTTGCATTTTTATTACAGTTTAAAAAAGTTTCATTACAATTAAGCACATTTTTATGGAAGCTTGTTTCTGCCATGGGATAAAAATCATAAAGGTAATTGTGACTTTTTACCTCACAATTCAGACATTTTTCTCAGAATTGCAAGATATAAACTCTGCATTCTGAGGAAAAAAGTCAGAATTACTAGATATAAACTCACAATTGTGAGAAGTGTTAGAATTGTGAGATTCTTAAAAAAAAATTTTTAGTCTGTGGCAGGAACAAAAAAATTGCGAGAAAAAGAACTGCGATATATAAACTCAGAATTTCAAGAAAATAAAAATTCTGAGTTTTTGTAATTCTGATTTTTATATCTCTTTTTATATGTCTCACAATTCTGAGAAAAAATAACTTAGAATTGTGAATAAAAAGAGATATAAAAATCAAAATTACAAAATATAAACTCAGAATTTTATATTAGTTTATATATCGCAGTTCTTTTTCTGAAAAAAAAAGTCTGAATTGTGAGATATAAAAAGCAGAAATGGGCTTCCATGCATTTTCAAAATAAAAAAAGAATAAGCAATACATTTATTTTAGTGTAATGATGAATATTCAAAACAATGAATTTACAAAAACAAATGTCCAGATGTGTTACACTGATGAGAATTATTAATTTTCTTTATGCCAAATATAGCTTGCATTTTTTTTGGTGAGATTTACTCTGTTATTGGTGAGGGCTGGGTATTTTATTTAATTGTTCGCCTATTCTAGTCACAAAATGTTACAATTAAAACTATTTAGACTTGTGTGAAGATTAAAAGACTGTGAAAATTATCCTGCACTGTAAGACAGAAAAAAAACCACACGGCTAAATCAGATTTTTTGGAATAAGATTATAATTTTTTCCCCATTTACTAAGAATAAGCCGTCACCCACCATGTGGGCGTAGAAAACCATGCTGTCAGTACATGCGTCTATGATGCACAAGGCTTCCACGCGTACTTCCTCTCCCTCAGACGCAGAAAAATTAGGGAGAAAACTGAAAATGTTCTTAGTTGTCATTGCTATGCAAGATGGTATGGTTGGCTGATTCCCTAAGGATGGAAAATGTTCTGAAATGTCTTATAAGGGGATTGTTTATGCCTTTGTTGTATCGGTATCTTCCAGTTAAATGTGGTTGAATATGCTATTTTATTAATCTTATGTTCTTCTAATGGGTGCAAAAATCACCTGCCTAAGTGCCTCGTTTACATTTTGCTGTGATTGTATATGCCATTTTCACGATTAAAGCGAAAAGCGGTACTGATTGTAGTTCTCTCTCGGAATGAAGTTAATCATTTTATTTTTAAAGGAACGTATCTAATCTTTCACATAAATGCATTTTTTTTTACACATCAGGATATTCACTTTAAAGTATACAAAAAACATTCCAGCAAATAAAATTATATACTGCCTAACGTAAAAGCAAGTAATAAATGCCACTCATTTTATTTGCTTTACAAGTCACAAATAAAAATTCTTTGTTTAACTGGTAAACTTCAGTTGCCCGAAATGAACAAACCTTGCCAAGGACAAAGGAACATTTTTGCCAGCTGAAACCAGACAATGATTTATACAAATATATAAAATAATATTATTTGCAGATTTGAGGAACAATTGATTGAACGACCTGAGAATAGACCATGTTGACTTTGCTTTCTCGCACTTTTTGTGTTTTTTTGGCACAGGAATGCACACGTTCACACGTAACGACACACACACGCACAACATTTCGCACAGTGACATTGCACAACATCGATCATGAAGATGATTACTTACATACCCACGGTGTCACGCACCTGTTTGCACAGTTCTGGCCCGTTCCTCGCGCGTTTCTTAAATGGAAGGAACTGCTGTCAGGTGACACTGAAAAGCACAATGGTGAGCGTTTCGTTCCTGCATGACAATACAAATGGGACGCAATTCGAGATCTCCAACAACTTAGTCAACCTATAGCCCGCTTAACAAGGCCTACCTATATTAAGCACACAGTGTCGTGGTCAACTGTTTCAGGCATCTTATCTGTGTGTATGGCAGAAGAGAGAGATACAACAGACGTGATCATGTACCCACAAGGTATAATCATGTTAACCTTATAGGGCCTGTGCACGACGATGGCTTAAATGAGAGGAAATCCAGTGCTCTATTTGGGCATCTGACGCTTCTAAAAGCTTCTTTACGTTAAATCCAAACAAGTTAGGTACTTTGTAAGACATTCTTTTTTTACCCAAAACATCATGTACATTCAAGAAATACTTCTACTATATCAAAAACGACTTATTTCACATCATTTACATGAGTCTGATAGAAAGTGTGAAACAGACGCCGCATCACGGCCCTGTTGCTCCCTGCGCAGGCGTGCGTGTGCATGTACGCAAGTCACAAACGCGTCTCCTGTTCCGGGTCGTAATCTATGGTCCGCGGGCATTGGTCCGAGTTACAGCTGTTGTTTTCTTCTTTCCTGAGGGCCTGCAGTTCGCCGGCTGCGGCCCCCGTGCCTCCGTTTGCGAACGTGTTGCGCTCTTGCCGCCGAACGTGCCGTCGTAACACCACCAGCCCGAGAATGCATAGGAAGAAGGAAGCGGTCCGCAAGCCCAGCGTCAGGCCCAGATATGCTATCCTGAGCAACGGAGAGGAAAATACAGGATAGTCAACGGAACAGAATTACAAGCCTAGACATACCAGGGTTTCTGGGGGTCTTAAGAAGTCTTAAATTGGAGCAGAATGTCTTTAATTCATAAACTCGTGGCATGACATGTTGCATGCATTGCACAAAATGAAATCTTTGTATTTTTGCGTTCCAATACAAATATTTAAACATGCTTAAATCAAGATGTTTACTTGAGTTGCAAATGTAAAATGTCTTCATAAATTGTACACAATTAAGTGATTTTATGCTTAATACAAGAACAAATATCTGTCAGTGGGATATGAAAACTTCCCTTTGAATTAGGTTGATTTTTCCATGTCCAGTTTTGTTCTTGTTTTAATCATAAACCTACTTCATTTTGATTAATTTCTTAGATTTATTATCTTATGTCTCTTTGCTTCTCAAGTAATCTTGATTTAAGAGTCATTAGACATTTGCAATGAAAAACAACAAAAATACTGAGGAAAAAATATCACTTTTTTGCAATGTGATCAGAAGGTACAGTAACATTTATTTCCATATTCTAGTGATTTGGAGCACAGCTATTCAAGCTTCAAGCCATTTATTTTTTCTTAAAGTGAATTAAAAGTAATGGAGATCTGTTGGAAGTTGTATTTTGTGCTCCCTAGACATGTACATTTAGAGAACATATTGACATATTGTGTTCCCTTCCATTTATTCCTTCCATTTTCTTTACTTATTCTTAAAAGGGAGTTATTTTTACCTTGATCAAATCTGCAGAAACCATGATAAACACAAGATCTAACGTACACAAGAATTTCAGTTTGTTACATTGTCCTTGTTACAAGTTACTATAGTAATAACAGTAAATTATGCATAGCTGCATGCAATAACCCTAAACCAAACCATAATGCTAACCCTACAGCAAGTACGTTGTTAATTAATTTTTACTCTGTACTTAAATGTACAAATACACTTTAAAAAGGACATTGTAAAATAAAGTGCAACTGAATTTCATATTACAGCATCACACTATACAACATGCAAAAATCTTTCTGAATGAATCCAATCTGATGAACCCTAAATGTTGCAATCCAATTTGCATATTAATTTACACATGCATTACATGTATTGTGCACAAAAAAAGAAAGCTGACATATGCCAAGAGTGTTTTTAGCAAATATTTAGTAAACATTCAGTCCAATATTCACCAATATTTTTAAGACGTGAGGTGCAAATAAACGCACATTTGTAAGACGTAAAATGCATGTAAACATACACATCACGTGCAAAGTATTTATGAATCCAATTGTGAAAATCATTGGATTCAGGTGTTTACATGCTTAATTTTTCCACTGAACAGATTTCAGGTCTACACCTGAGATTTAATTCAAATCGAGCTCATTTGGATCGATTGAGGTGATTACATGAAGGCTTTTCAGTCTGATTGAGCCTTCAATCCGATTACTAACAGATGTAGATGTAGCTGCTGCTAAAAAAATTTTTTTTTTTATTTTGAAAACCTGTATTTTTGAATAAGCAAAAATATAAGTTAGTTGTGTTGCTACTTTCACTTATTCCAACCCTACACTGCACTGCAAATATGCAAGTCAAGTGTGGTGATGAGCCAAATACCTGTAGGCAGTGGTGTTGTAGATTCGACAGGCTCCTCTCCCACCACATTTCTTCTGACCCCATTTCAGACAGGTGGTGTCTATGATGGCTCCGAAGTATATAGGAGCTGGAATTCCAGCTGTGGAAGGCAAAAAAACACCACACCATCCACTACTGCTTCAAAACAAATCATCATTACCACTGTGACTACAAAATGATTCAGCAGAGACATCAACAGCACCAAACACCAAAGCGTCTCTCACCTAGAGTGCGTGTCGTCAATGTGTGAAAACCCAAAGCTAAAGACTTCAGCTGAGGTCTGATGCATCTGTGGATGAAACGAGAGAAAGAGCGGCTAGATTACTTCCTTTTAGAATAATATGAAAACACGTTTGACAGATGTACTGCTTACAAGAAATAGGACATACCGGTAGTTTAAGAATCCATGTAACAAAAATAAAATAATATATATAAAAAACAAACAAAAAACAATAGAACCAAATTTTCTATAATATAATAACTGAATAAATGTATTTTTTGTTATTATAATTAATGATAATAATAGATTAAATAATTGCATAAGTTGCATATTGAATAATTACATAAAGTGATGTATTGTGAAAAATTAGGCAATTATACTATGGTTATTTAAATTTTTATATGCCTGCACAAAAGTGGCAGAAATATATATATAATTTTTATGGATTGAATAACGTGCAATGATTATCCAATTTATGAAAATAAATAGAAAAATAGGGCTGATTTTGATTTCATATGAAGGCATTTGCAAACCATTCATAAAATATTGCAAAAAGTTAAGACTATGATACTATGCTATTTTGTATGTTTACATGCCAGCAAAAAAAGTAGCAGATATTATATTGTTGGAAAAACTTTTTTTATTCTTCTTTGAAGTAATATACATTGATGAATTGTACACAAGACCAGAAACATTTATTATCAAAATGAATAGGTCAACATTTTTTTTTTTTTATATTAACCTAACCTCTTTTATGACAGTACCATGAATTGCTAACACTAACACTAGACAACCTCACATCAGCAATATGTGGATTACTTTATCCACTGTATTTGAATAAAAAATGTAAAAAATAACATTCAGAATGCATAGAATATTGCAAAAAGTTAGACTATGATACTATTGATTATTTGTATTTGTATTTTTAAATAAGAAAAAAGTAGCAAAAATGATTATAGTTTGTTCAAATAAAATCTTTAACATGCATTGATGAATTGTGCATAAGACCAGAAACATTTATTATGAAAATTAATTGCTGACATAATTTTATTGGTACTGACAGAACGAATTCTATCAAATCAAGCCACTAGACAATTTCACAACAGCAATATGCAGATTACTTCATCCAAACTAATCACGTCTTCTCTCAAAAGCTACAGACATGCAGGAATTTTTATTTCACAACAAAGCCGGGCCAGCGCTGCTGCTGCTGCTAACCTAATTTAGCCCGAGGGAGGCTGAGCATTCCAGCAGCGTCAGCTGACTGAGCTTTGGGAGAAAGCTGACAGTCCCTGGTGGTAAAGCTTTTCCTTTCAAGACACAAGTCTGATTACTGAACTTCACAACTGACCATAAACTTGTCTCGACTGATTTTGCATTCAATCGAGCGACAGCTTTGACTGACCTACAGCCCTCAACTGAGACATGGAATAATGAGGGGAAAATCACATTAGCGCCGTCGACACATGCTGTCGGTTTTCATCTGTTATCTGCTTGAACTGAGAAAAAAACCCAAACACATGACTGGATGACCTTTCTGTGCTTTCTTTCGGTTTTCTATGAAATGATAATTCAGCATGTAAACAAAACATTCACTTTAACAAGACTTCTTATATGCAATATTTATATATTATTATATATTTATATATTATAATATTTATAAGAAGCATTCCATCACTTGCTCCCATTCACTGCAGAGGATCCATTGGTGAGCAAGTGATGGAATGCTACATTCCTCCAAATCTGATGAAGAAACAATCTCATCTACATCTTGGGTGACCTGAGGGTGAGTGATTTTTCCTTAAAGTGAGCTGTAATTCTCTGGACCATCAGCAGTTCCTGATCAATAAATCATGGTCAGATATTCACCTGATGAGCAGCATGTATCCTGGTGTTCCGCCCAGCGAGATGATAAAGGAAGTGATGACAGACAGAGCCAGGAAGTAGAGGAAGACTCGATGGCAGCTGTCTGTGTTGTTGCATTGGCCCACACTGGCCGTATGATTCCCGACTGCTACACAACTGCACTGCTCAAACACCTGAAACACACAAACACAGCAGATCAGACGCTACTTAAAGCACACCTCATGCAGCAAAACAACTTTTAAAACAACTTTGTGCAGCAATTTTTTGGTAGTTACAACATTGCTGCAACTTACCAAGTGCAGTGATGTGCAAACCACAATTCTAACAAGGACTTTTCTAGATCTACAATTGCATTTACTGTCTGATGAAGTATGGGTAATAGGGCCTTTAATCAAAAAATGTCATTACATTTTTTATTCATGCAGATTATTCCTTGCTATCTTCAAGCAAAAAAATCTCTCTCTCTCTCTTTATATATATATGAAAAGCAAACAAATTAAAATTCTTAAATTATTTAAGAGGATACGAGCTACTCATCCCATGATTAATCAGAAATGACAACATGATGCACAAATCTTATGATTGATGATTCTCTCTTGGATTGTGGTTATATTCATACATTTTAAAAAAAATCTAATGAAATAAAATGTATTGAACAGTACTGCTCAAGTTATCCATTTACCAATAATATTTATTGTAATTATATTTATTATTTTCTCCTTTTTCTATTGTGGAGTGCACTGCATTGATGAACTTCACAGGCAAATGTAAAGATGTACTTGAAGTTATTGTAGTTGCTTATAAACGAAATAAAAACTTATGAAATCAATGTAGATGAAGTGTATTGCTCAAGTTATTTGTTTACCAATTATATTTATTGTAATATATTTATATTTTGTACTTTTTCTATTGTAGAGTGCACTGCATTGACTATTTTTAATGTGGCATATGAATATGAATGCATTATTTTGTCCAGCCTTAATACATTTTACTATGAATTTTACAGGCAAATGTAACAAGTAAAAATGTAAAACTGTTGTAAATGTAAAATGCACAGAAGTGTTATTTTAAAAGACATTGTAGTTTATATATATATATATATATATAAAAGAAAGTCAAGTCGAAATCACACTGACTTCTGGATTCATCAGAAGCATATAACAATAAAATCAAAGGTAGGTTTATATATTTATATATAGAGAGAGAGAGAGAAAATAAATGAGATGTTTATATTATAGATGTTCTATTTATACTTATATTTTTATATATATAAAATTTGTCATAAAAAGGTGACAAAAAAAATCTTAGCATCTAAAAATATACACTTTCCACATGCTGAACAAATGCACAGTCACAATGTGCTCTTTGGTTGACCTCTCTCATCTAAAGTCTGAAATTACATTAATTCTTTGTTTAGCAACAGTCTGAAAGGACGGTACAAAAGACAGTGCGTATAACAGATGCTTGAGATATGAAATGGACACACAGGATGGGAGGGAGGAAACACAGTCTGCAGATTAAAGTCAGGGAGTATCGCAGCCATTTAGATGGAATGAAACACGATGCTTAGACAGAACCGACCAGGTTTGGGAAGAAACAGTCTCAGGAAGTTTCAGAGAAGCCTTTGAGCTGAAGACAAACAGGTTGTGCACACCCTTCAGAGAGTGCTGGGAAAACCCGAGTTCAAGGCATATGAAACAACACAATGTCGCTCGCATTCTTTGAAGGGAACAGGACAACAAACACACGCCATTGTTCCAGAATCACGCTCTCGGTTCAGAGGCCGCGCTTACCGTGTCCACTCCAGAGCCGTGGGACGTCCGGCATCCAGCCAGGCAGGGGGAGAAGTAGGTGAGGCCGTTCTCACCGCACACGGGGTCCCAGTTTGTTTCGGGACACTGACAGTCTGCGTTGCAGGACGCTAAGAGAGAACTGTCCACTTTGTACAGACTTTCCGTCCTGTTAGACATAAGCATACTGTTACTTATCATTTTGCAAATGAAGCACATCATATAATTCATACATAATTATTATGGTACATTTATGAACAAATCTTGATTATTGAACTAAAACTGAAATTAAAATCATTACTAAAAATAAAAGCATCTTGTTACTTTAAATAAAAGAAACATTAACTGAAATAAAATAATTAAAAAAATTGGCAATGGCAACACTTTACAATAAGGTCTCATTAATGCATTAACATTAACTAACAATGAACAATGTATTTTTACAGCATTTATCAACCTTTGTTAATGTTAAGTTAATAAAAATGTTCATGTTCACAGTACATTAACTAAATGATGATAATAACATTAATAAGATTAATAAATGCAGTACAAGTTTTATTCATTGTTAGTTCTTTACTAATTTAGTTAACTAATGTTAACAAATAAATTGTAAAGTGTAACCAAAAACAAACTGATTTCATTTCTGCTACTTGCTACTTACATTTCTCATTTTCATCTTGATAATATAATAATAATAATAAAATAATAATAAAAACTATATAGAAAGACCTAATAAAAAATTACAAAACACAATAAAACTACGAAAACTTTAATAAAAATTAACTAAAAAAACTAAAAACAATTCAAACTATGAATAAAAATTATAATAATATCTCAATGAATTTAGATTATTTTTATATAAACATACATTTACATATATTATAAATGTATATTATTTTTTCCAGCCTTAATATCTTTTTTCATGAACTTCACAGGCAAATGTAAAATATACAAAAATTGTAAATGTAAACAATTATTCATATAAACAAAAGAGATGCAAAGCGTTTTCCTCTCCTCCCAATGATTATCCTAATTATTCTGCGATTCAAATTATTCATGACGATATAGTTGCATTTTATTATTTGCATTTAGCATTGTTTGCTTGACCCCATTAGACCGGCTGCATAAACTGCTTAGACTAGTCTTACAACGAAGTCATTTCACTAAGTCATTTTTTTTCTTTAAGACTATTTTTTAAAACCACTTTCATAAAAATGTAGACTGGACTAATTTGATCAGTAAAGTACGACCGATTACTCTTTGGCTAACTGCGAGTTGGTCAGACTAGTTTTTAAGACAAAGTCTAAACACAATGGCTGTGTTTATGCAACTGGCCTCAGATTTGAGCAGAAGCACCACTGACCGAAGTCCAAACTTAAAGTCTCGTCCTACCCATTGTACGACCTGGTGATGCCGGCCACACTGGCATTCTCACATCCCATGGCGAAGAAGAAAAGCGACAGGAAGTAGCCCAGAAGAGACGTTCCCAGTGCAAACTTGGCTGCTCCCATGATGCTCAGCTTGAACTTCTTCATGATCACACCTCCCGAGAACATTCCCAAGGCCACGGCTGGGATGTTGATCACTCCTGAAAAAACAGACGGCATCAGGAAAACCTGGATCAAAGGAGCAGTGTCACGGATTTGAAACAAAGGCAAAGACTCTTCTTGTGGTTGAAAGGTTAAGGGATACAGAATAGGCCTATTTGTTTTCCCTCCGTCTGATTTTCAAACGCTAATGCCGTTTCCCGAAATGCACAACAGTCTCCGCTGTCTGCATACATTGTGTGCTGATATTATTTTTGGATTTCGTTCTCTTTCATAAGGTGTAACGGGCCATATCACACTGTGATTTAACCGAGCTATAAAAACCTTTAGATTTGATATCAGAACCATAGAGTAATATTTAACGCACATTAATAAAATCCAATCAAAACATTAAGCTCCAAGGTCACAGCTGCAACTGTAATATATCCGTGCATTTAGAGGAAGACGACATACCCATTAAGAAGTTGGCTTTGGACGCTGACTGTCCGTAATGTTGCTCGATGTATTTTGGCTTGTACGTCACCATACCGATCAAAGAGTTGAACTGGATGATGGTGACACAGAGATACAAAAAGTAGACTGGATTCCCCAAAAGGGATCTGAGCGTTGGCAAAAAGTCTGGAAAACATGAATACAAAATGTTTAAGAATGATGCAAATAGCTGAATTTTATTTGTCAATCCACAGCATACATGCACCACAACTGAAATGAATGAATGTCAATGCATTAAATACAAGATAGCAAACAAATGATTCATAAACGTTTCTAAGAACTAACTTCACTTGAGTTTTAGTGGATGCATGAAGTATTCAATTTCACAATTATGTCCTAGTGATGTATAGATATGGCAGAAAAAAGTATTAGTTTGGCTTTCTAAACCACATTTTTCTTCATTTCCAAAAATAATTCTATTGTTTTGCCATTTTAAATCATGCAAAGTTATGCAAGCAAAAGTTTTGACTGAAAAGGATGCCAATGCTTTCTTTAACCCTGTAAAGCCCGACATATGGAATAGTAGACAGAAAAAAATACTTGGTTAAACAGTTTATTGAACCTTTAGTCAAAAAAAAAAAAATTAATAAAATAAAATGTGTTTTTGTTGAGTATCATATTTGATCCATCAGGCTTTTATGGCTCATATAGTCTGATATAGGGAGGAAAAAACACCTTACTTTTATTCAGGGGCCCAAACTAAGCAAAAATATGCAATTTGGTGCAGATGCTGATATTAGTATGGACAAAAAGAATGAAATTCCGATGCATGTAACGTAAATCAATGAGATCTTTATAACAGTATAGTAGATAATTACATAAAATGCAATAAATATCAGCCGTCACTCTATATCTCCAATAATATGTCTTATAAAATGAGATTTAAATGATCAAAACATAAAATGTAATGCAATCCAATGATAATTGAGACATTATCATTCCCCAAAAGATGCGAGATGTTCTGGAGGCTTGGGAAGATCAACAGTGAAAGTAAAGCTTCTGGAAACAAACGCTCCTCAAAAGATCCTGATGATCAGATTTGAGACGCACTGATTTTTCTAAAAATGATGATGGATAATCGAGTGAACCTAAGTAGATGCCGTACAACCAGTTTTTCTGCAAAGTTTTGATCATTTAGAGGCCTTAGAAATTTGCCAATCAAATACGATACAGTAGGTTTTTCTAGGGTTACAATAAATGCCAAATGGTGTGATATTTTCTTAATTAATGCAATGACATTCCAGCACTTTAAATGGGTCAAATCGGCTTTTTATGTAGCCTAGACCAGTGCAGACATCTGATATTTCAGAGTGTGAATTTTTCTGTGAATTCTAGGTGATTTACCTTTGGCCATTTCTAGGAAGTTAGCTGGCTCGTCTGCCTGGTACTTGTGCTCCAGCAGGGGCGAGTCTTTGATGAAGCTGGTCCGCTCTGGAGAATACTTGTCAAGCCGTCTCTCTGGCAGGGGCAAAGACTTGGGCAAGAACCAAAACGGCATCGCCGAGAGCAGGGTGATGAGTCCTGCAATGAGGTATCCCAGCCACCAGGCGCCTACCCAGCGTGCATCTCCCGGGGTGATGCTAATGCTCTCTGTGAGAAGACAGTCACACACACACACACACACGCACGCATATGTCAACAGCGAGAACACAGACGTTACGAGGCTCGCTGCAGCTTGTCACATGTTCAGAATATTTGGGCCAGGCAGACAGCCGAGGCAGACGCAGACGCAGACTGTGATCTACAGACAGTCTTAGATGTCTCGCGCTCTCTCTCAGCTCATGTATGCTCTGTCAGCCTCCATGCTGTGCCAGTAGATTGAAACGTTAGTGGCATTTCATGTAAACAAGTAATGGCACAACCAAACACATTTTTTGCTACATTTAATCCTGAAATACAAAACGAGATGCTAAGCAGAATGTTCAAACTGCTCTTTTCCATACAAAAAGATGGTGATTTGCACTGTCAAGATTGAAAAAGCAGCATCAAAGTGATCTATAAGACTGCTGCACTATAAATTGCAAGTCTTTTCAAGTCATTCTGTAGCTTTATTTGGAAACATGTTTAAAGATGTCATGACTAGGTGGCAGAATGAAGTTTGACATCTATAGCATCAAACCTAGATTCTTTAACTCAACCCAAGAGTGAATTTAGCTTTTCGGAGCTTGGAAGTAAAAATGTATATATACATTCTTTGTATTTATAAAAAAAAAAAAAAAAAAAACCTTTGGTGTTTGACAGAAGAGAAAAATATATTGGAAAAGTAATATATATATAAAAAAAATTAGAATATCAGAAAATAAAAGCTAAGTTACTTACAGTAATACTTACAATACTGGTCAAAAGTTAGGAATAATTAAGATTTTTTAAATGTTTTTTTAAAGAAGTTTCTTATACTCTCCATTGTTGCTCAGTTATTATTAATTAATATTAGTGCTCAAATACAGGTGCATCTCAAATTAGAATGTCGTGGAAAAGTTCATTTTCTTTCTTTGCGTGAACATTTGGGCGCATTATGCAAATATTCCCACATAGTGAGGTAGATATGTGGGGGCGTGTTAGAACGAGCCGTTTTAGGGGGGCGTGGCAGAGTCTTAACTTTGATAAAGAATATCTCTTTGGTTTTGAGACTTTAGTCTTTGCAACTTCAGGGATCTTATCTATGCACAATCAGCTTGTAACACTCCAAAGAGAAAGGAAAACTTGAAATCGCATCATATGACCCCTTTAATAATGGTTCCTATTATTACCAATCTGTTATCAATTTGCTGTTTAATATTTTGTGGAAATGGTCATACATTTTTATCCAGAAGTCTTTGATGAATAGAAATCAAAAGAACAGCATTTATTTTAAATATAAATCTTTGTAACATTATAAAAGTCTTTACTGTCACTTCTGATTAATTTAATACATCCAAGGTATCACAGTTTCTACAAAAATATGAAGCAGCGCAACTGTTTTCAACATTGATAATAATCAGAAATGTTTCTTGAGCAGCAAATCAGCATATTAGAATGATTTCTGAAGATCATGTGACACTGAAGACTGGAGTAATGAAAATTCAGCTTTGCATCACAGAAATAAATGACATTTTACAGTATATTCAAATAGAAAACAGCTATTTTAATTTTTAATAATATTTCAGATTTTTACTGTATTTTTGATCAAATAAATGCAGCCTTTCTGAGCATGAGAGACTTAAAAACCCCCTCTCAAAAATCTTAATTATGCTGTCTTTAGTATCATTAAATGTATAAATCTCTATAGAAACAATACTCCTGCGAGGACTTATGTATATGATACAGATGTTGTTGTCTGTGCTGTTTTATTGTCCACTAAATAAAATGAATGCCAAAACATTTGATATTAAGATATGTCATATAGTTTTTATCGTCCCCAGTCAAATAAAGAGTGCGTTCGGATGCCAGAATCGCACTCAGATCCAACATAAACAGCCTCCGTGGCTTTTTAAACAAGAAACAACAAAGTTTCTTATTTCCTCCTGCTTTTGTTTGAAACACAAACAAAATAAGACTAATATGAATAAACTGGATTTGCTCCAGATCTGAGGAGCGAATCCTTGATTTCACAATGAACTATTTTCCTTTTATGAGTTTTTGATTCACTAGTCTAGTCAAGATGAGCCAAAAACTCATGAAAACATACAGAACAGAAGCATTTTCTATTATTATTTGCTCTTTATAGTCAAGAAAACCGTGACTTGTACATTTCCAGAGACGTACGGCATCCAGATGCAACTGAACTCAATGACTCCTTTAGGAAATAGTGAATCATACAACAGCACCGTTTCACTCACCCATGTTGACAAATCCAATGTCCACGTATATCTTGGCACAGACAGACCCCAGCAGGTAGCCAAACACCGGACCGATGACTGATATCGTCTGGACGCATCCTAATGCAGACGGCAAGAATTGATTAGTCTGGGCTGTTTACCAAGAAAGGCAATGCTCTCTAAAAAAAACAATTAATACCAGGAAACGGTTAAATGGCAAACTGTCTGGGATTCTCACTGAATTTGTGGTAACCGATGAAGCAGCAAATGCATATCTGTCCTATTTTCACTCCAATCATAAATGCATGAACAAACTTGTAGATGTACCGATGTAGAAGGCTGCATTCTCCTCCAGAGCGTGATCATCGATGTATGAGATTCCCAAAGGTTGCACTGGGGTCTCGCCGATTCCTCGCAAGATATTCCCAAGGAAAACATAGATCCACATGGACAACCTGGACTCGTGTTCGCAACCTCAGTAAGAGGGAAGAGAGGGTGAGAAGAGTTGCAAATGAGAGGCATTTCGAGAAATCAACACATGACAAATATAGCGAATAAAATGAGACAGGACAAACAAGCGATGACAGATTACTGCACAGCCATGCATCTTTAAAAAAAATGGCCTAATATTAGTTAATTTGATGATGCTGAATTAAAAATTGTCAATAAAAACTTCAATCATGTAGTTTTTTTTTGCAAAATAAGATTGAAGATTTTTCTAATTATATAAATGTATCAGCTTTAGTGCACTTGTCGAAATAACAAAAGCATTCAAATGTCAAAAGTTTCGAGTGGAGTGGAAAAATATGTTCAAATACTTAATTTAATGTCAATGAACTTTACAAACTAAGCTTTTTTTTCACAAAAATCTGTCATTTTCTTTCACTATTTGTATGTAGTAAAACACCCACATCATCAGGGTGGTGTTTGCATTTTCTTCTGTCACTAATTCTAACCTTGAAATCAGGATTAGACATAAAATAATGTCTTACATATGAAAATCAGCTGAGATTTAAACAAAGAGTGGTAATCTGGCTCAGATGAAGACAGAAAATTATGTCTTTGTGGCAGTTTTTCTGGTAATTAAAGGACAATTCAAGACTTCTTCACCTTACAAATGGTTGTAAAAGGAAAAATACAACAAAACACACATATTTTGTAAGAAAAAGTGTCGTGCTCGAGCAAAACAGGCAGTATTTTGGGAATCAGCACACAAAATTAGTAAGAAATAAGTATTGATTTCATTCAGCAAATATGATGCATTAGCAAGACTATATTAAACCATATGAGGCCGTACACGGCACCAGTGTATGTTAGTCCCCATCAGGTTTTAAAACTAGTTTAAACAGCAAGAATCCAATCTAACTCAAGCCGTAGGTGGTTCTGTACCTGAGCTCGGCATTGAAGAAGCGCTGGGACCTGCGGCCAGAACGCTAGACCTCACTGGACATGGAGAGAGGCTATTGGTTGAGTTCACTGATGATCGAATCGATGTTTCAAACTTGTAGCTGCATAAAGAACATCAAGTTAGCAGCAGAAATCAGAAACCATGTCACATGACACAACAAAAGGGATACAGATTGATGAAACAAACATATTTGGATCAGAATACAGTTTTTTATTTTGTCAACAATAATGAAGATGAGAAAGATACATAAATTTTTTTTTAAAAGTTAATAAAAATATAAAACCTTTTTTATTTTGTCAACAATAATGAGGACTGAAAAAACAATGACAATTAACTAATAAAAAATTTGTTAATAAAAATTTATTTTATTTTTTACAAGAATGCAACGGAAAAAGTGCATCATACAAATATAAATTATTTTTTATATTGTCAACAATAATGAAGACAGAAAAAAACATCATAATGATAGTTAAAAATTAACTTAAATGATTTTAGCAAATGGCTGCAATATAACAAAGAGTGAAAAATTTAAGGGGGTCTGAATACTTTCCGTACCCACTGTATATATATATATATAGATTCATCAAAATGATAATTATAATAAAAAAGAGTTAATATATATTTTTATTTTGTCAATAATAAAGATGAAAAAGATGCATCATAATCATAATTAAATAATAAGAGTTATAATAAAAATACAAAATGTAAAATAATAATAATTACAGTAATTCCATTAACAAAAATATGACAAGAAAAAAGAATCCAGTCATAGTATTTTGGGTATTACCCTGCTTGAGGAGACAAAGCTGAACACTTATAAACTAAACTAATTCGTAAAGATGAATAAGCTGTATATTACAACCTATATCTGCACAGACAGTGAAGCAAATGCACAGGTGAACCTCAAATCAATGACACTCTAGTCAGACTGAGTAGTTCACACTGAACATGCTGTTGCTGTAAAAACGGGATGCAATATAGAATGCATCATTTCTATAAATAATGTGCTTCAAAAACATGGCCTAGATACGAAACATTAACATTAAAATGCAGCATGTCAATCCATCATGGAAATTTCACTCGAGTCACTTTAAATACATCCAAGCTATGGTGCCTTCGAAGAGCCGCATGTAAAACTGAAAACCTGGCACACTTTCAAGGTTGAGATTGCATGTTGATGTACAAGGATGAAGTCAAATTTGAATGAGCAGAGCGAGGTCATGCCAAATTCTGTTTGTTCTGTATATCAGCTAAAAATGTTTCCTTGATACAGCAGCTTTACAATGGTAAAACACACATCTGATAAAGAAACAGCAGACAGCGTCTGAACGCAAACACATACTAAACACAACTCGATGGCATTCGTGGGAAGGGGAATAAACTGGATACATGCGACCCTTTAAAACAGCTCACCCTGCTGACATCACACACATTTTCACTTACGGATGAAACTTGGCTTACCGTCCGATTATAAAATGGGGCAAGGCAATCAGAAAAGTCCCAAGTGACATCAACAGGCAGCCGATGGCGATGATCTTCGGACGGTGAAGTTTGGCACCAAAGTAACTCACGAAGGCGATCACTAACAAGTTACCTAGAAGCAGAGAATGGACAAAACTGTTCGGACAAACATTTTATGATGTGGAAATTGTGACTGAGTTGAACTGGCTTCATTACTTCCAAACAAAATTAAATCCAAACATAAATGCGTGAACTAAAGTAAGCAACTAACCTTAAAATGACAGTTCACCTAAAAATTAAAATCAGCTGAAAATGTACTCGCCCTCAGGCCATCCAAGATGTAGATGAGTTTGTTTCTTCATCAGATTTGGAGAAATGTAGCATTGCATCTCTTGCTCACCAATGGATGCTCTGCAGTGAATGGGTGCCGTCAGAATGAGAGCCCAAACAGCTGATAAAAACATCACAATAATCCACAAGTAAACCACACCACTCCAGTCCATCAATTAATGTCTCGTGAAGCCAAAAGCTGCCAAAAGTTTCCTCCATAATGCTTTTTCCAGTGAAAAAGTCATCTGGTCTGAATCAGGAGAGAAATCTGCACAGATCAAGCACAGTTTACAAGCCAAAACAGATCTAAACAAATATGTGGGTGGATTTTGATGTGAAAGACAATAGGAGATCGACTTATCTCTGGAGGAAGCGTTATTGTGGATTATGACGGTTAAATGTTAAAAAATGTCTTGATTGATTTGTTTCTTGCAATCGCACAGCTTTTCACTTCTCAAGACGTTAACTGATGGACTGGAGTGGTGTGGATTACTTGTGGATTATTGTGATGTTTTTATCAGCTGTTTGGACTCTCATTCTGATGGCACCCATTCACTGCAGAGGATCCTTTGCTGAGCAAGAGATGTAAAGCTACACTTCTCCAAATCTGACAAACTCATCTACAAGTGTATTCTTAGCAAATTTAAATTTTTGCGTGAACTATTCCTTTATAGTAAACAAGTGTAAAATAAGAGCAATTCTTAATGCATATTATTTGCTACTGTCCATCAAGCAATAAAAACCCCATAATGATGACTCACGAGTGCATGTATCCTCTCCACAAACTCTCAGAACATGACGCTGATTTCTACATGATTGACCTCTTTGTCTGCGAGGAACATTTATTGGCTGATTTATTTGGTTTCTGAGCTTCACGGCTCCATGAACGGAGGTCTTTGTGAGGACGATTATAGCACAGCTCTGTACCCAGTGTGGCATTCAGGACATTTCATGGCTTCAATGGGAACAGGAATTCTCAGACGTTTACACCACGGCTCAGTTTGAAAGGAGGTCAGCCTAACCAAAAAGAAACAACTCACCCAAACATTTATAAAACACACAATAACACACAGCAGCCTTTGTTTGGCGGGTTTTCCGGGCACTTGTTGATAACGGGGATGTAAGACAGCTATACAGTGATGCTAACTCTGACACATGATCTCTGCGAGGCTGCACGCCGTTTCCCATTGCCATGGCAACGCTCCTATGGAAACACTGGTTGCTAGGGCCACGTGAGCGGCGGCTGCAGCAGTGTGAACAGGGTTTAGCCTCGCTTTCATTACTCTAGATTATGATTTTACATGCACAAAGAAGAATAAAGAGCTGCTGAGTCACTTTTGAAGCTCATCGGAATAAAACTTTGATTACAACAATCTTTTAATGGTGGTTCTGTGGCATACTTTTTTGTTTTAGTACTGGCATCCCTGCACACCTGCAAAGGTCAAAATATTAAGTGATTAAGATTTTGGGATAATCATTATAAATTAATAATAATATAATATGTTAATAATAATAATAATAATATGTAATACAACTATAATTATGTAATATGATGAAATAATACATTAATATCAATATTTTATTTTGTAAATATTATATTTATTTTTATATAAATATTTGTACTTTTATTCAGCAAGAATGCATTAAATAGATTAATATTTTATTTATTTTGTAAATTTTATATTTATTTTCTAAATATTTGTACTTTTATTCAGCAAGAAGTTGAATAGATCAATATTTATATTTTATTTTTTGTAAATACTATATTTACATTATATTAATATTTGAAAGTTTATTCCGCAAGAATGCATTAAACAGATTAATATATTGTATTTATTTAATATTTATTTAGTAAATATTATATTGTTATTTATTATATAAATATTTGTACTTTTATTCAGCAAGGATGCATTAAATTGATCAAAGTGATCAAAGTTATAATTTATAAAGATTTCTATTTCAAATAAATGCTGTTCTTTTGAAATTTCTATTCATCAAAGAATGCAGACAAATGATGCAAACAAGTATCATGGTAATAACATTTTCTTTGGGACACTGCTATTTAGCAAAGTAAAGCATTTTATTGCAATGTAATGATTTATGCATGTGGAAACTTAAAAATTCAATTTGCATTTGTGAAGATGAGAGCTCTTCACACTGCAGTTGCATAACTGTCCGATCTGTTGGATGATTGCACTGCAGATGCGTGTAAATTGCAGCACACATGGTGTGTCTCTGTATTATTTTGCACCGGTGCAAGGAGCGCCGCAGATGCTGAGAAAGGCTAGACAAGAGCCTTGGCAACTGGTTGGCGGAGGTGACGGGATCGAAACATAGCGAAAGGTCTGCTGACGCATGAAGATCCGGTTCTTACCTATTTCAAAGCTTCCATCAATGACACCTATTAAGTAACTGGGGATGTCGAAGCGTCTTTCCAGCTGAGTTATTGTGCTTTTCATATAGCTCCCGGATAATGCCTTGGCGAAGTAGGCAAAGGACAAGGCCACGAGGAACATCTGTAATGAGACACAGAAAGAGAGAGGTTTTATTCACCCACGCTTCGTCAGATGCTGCAACTCGCACTCTCCCTCATTAACCTATTTTTGGACATGGAAGCAACTCTTCATTAATATGCATTTAAAATTGTAGGGGATAAGAGAACCGGAGTAGAGATGGGAGAGATGGAGGGGGGGATGCATTTCTCAAACTGCATTGCATTATGGGTAGTGGGGACAAAAAGCAGATTAGGGGAGCTTATGTCACGCTCTTGAGCGATGCTACTGCACTCAACCACAGTGACTTAAGCCTCCATATGAGCAAAACAATGGCAAAAAATGAGTTGCTGAGGTTTCGCCTCGGCACAGTGGTGCATCTTCACTCTTGTGGGGTTTCCCGCACATATGCACACTCCCTGCATCCAAATTAATAATCAACGGAAAGGTGGAGAAGAGAAGGGTGAAGAAGTAAAGAGAGAAGAGGGAAAAAAAAGACGAGGCCAGAAGAGACGAGAAGCCTTTGATGATCAAATCGTCAGCTATACAGTCGTCTTTCAACACACACTTGAATTTTCCATGTACAAAGACGGAAAAAAGAGCTGAATCACTTTTTGAAGCTCATCGGCATAAAACTTTTGATTAAAACAATCTTTTTATGACTGCATAAAAGTCCTTTTATAAACAGTTTTTTTTTAAATTAAATTTACATTTTTTGCATCCCTGAACTTTTAAAATTATCATTATAATATCAATAAATACCTTTTATAGTAGATTTTATATATATATATATATATATATAATTTTTTTTTCTACTATCAAAATTATTTATTAATAGTATAATGATAATTTTATTTATTTAATATTATAATGATAATATTATAATGCTAATTATATAAAAATAGTGATATATTATTATCAGTGTTGAAAACAGTTGTGCTGCTTAATTTGCGGAAACTGTTTTTTCAGGATTCTTTGATATATATAGAAAGTTCAAAAGAACAGTATTTATTTGAAATATAATCTTTTGTAACATTATTAATGTTTTTACTGTCACTTTTGAAAAATGTAATACATATTTGTTGAAAAAAAGCATTACTTTCTACTAAAACGCGCAAACTTCCCAAACATTTGAATGGTAGTATATCGTGGTTTCTGAAGCATGAAGCGACACAGCTGTTTTCAACATTGATACTAATATAATATAATATAATATAATGTAAATGTAGCAAATCAGCATATTAGAATGATTTCTGAAGGATCATGTGACACTGAAGACTGGAGTAATGATGCTGAAAATTCAGCTTTGATCAAAGGAATAAATTTTTTAATAAATTTTAAAATATATTCACATAGGAAACACTTATTTTAAATTGTAAAAATATTTCACAATTTTTACTGTATTTTTACTCAAATAAATGCATTCTTGCTGAGCAGAAGCAGAACATTAACAAATCTTACCGACCCCAAGCTTTCCAAACTTTTCCCATCACCTGTAAATACACAACTTCAGTGAACTGACATGTCTGATTCATTTCATTGCCATCACTTAACCAGATCGATCAATCAATTAGCCGAGGCTGTTCTTCTCACAAACACGGCAGTGTTTACAGTCTGCGTCCTTCACTTAACCAAGTTATCGCAACTTTGTTCTGGGTCACGCAGCTCTGTGTCATAATGGATTGTGCTCTTCGACTGGGACTTGAGCACTCATATTTCTGAAAGATTTATGCTTACTTTGGGCTACAGGGGATAGCGCAGAGCATGCTGGGATTTGAGAGGTTTCTAACGCTGAGTGAAGAAAGCCGTATATAAAGAACTAGTATCTTAAAGAAGGATAAAACAACAAAAGTGTGAGAAAGAGTGTGTAAAGCACACTGGACGTGTCAGACATGCCACACATGTTCTCCCACGACGGGACGCTCACAATAGAAACAACTGAAAGGTGAACGGTGACAATCACCTGTCCGCTGACGAACTGAAAACAAGAAGCACAGAATGTACAGTACTTGTCAAAAGTTTGGAAACATTACAGTTTTTAAATGTTTTTAATCTCTTCTGCTCACCAAGCCTTCATTTGTGAGCTCAAAAATACAGTAAAAAACTGTAAATATTACCTGAAATATTATTACAATTTAAAATAAGTGTTTTCTAAGCCATATTTGACCCAAAGTTGGGTTGAAACAACCCAGCATTTTTTAGAGTGTTCAGTGTCACATGATCCTTCAGAAATAATTCTAATATGCTGATTTGCTGTTCAAGGAACATTATATTATATTATCATCAATGTTGAAAACAGTTGTGCCACTTCATGCTTCCGAAACCATGATATACTACCATTCAAATGTTTGGGATGTCTGCGTGTTAATAGAAATGATTGCTTTTATTCAGCAAATATGCATTAAATTGATCAAAAGTGACAGTAAA